GTAAAATAAATGCAATATGAAGTTCAAAGAGTGTGTTGGTTGGTGGCCGACACTAGCTAGCATTGGTGGTGGTCGAAGGCTGGTGATGGTAAGCGCTGGTCACCAGTGGCAGAGTTGGCCTAAGACTAGCGCCAACGGTAGTCAGCATGTGGTACCCCTGACAACGAGTGGTGGAGGTGATTGTCGGTAGTGGAAGGTGGGAGCATTGGCTAATGAGGGGCGGGGTGCAATGGCTAATGGTGGGAAACATTGGTGGCTGACGGTGGAAGTTGCTGAAGGGTGGTTCAGCTACAACGACAGTGATGGTTGTCGATGGTAAAGAGTGACGGTGGCCGACAAGCGGTTTGTAGAAGCAGGTGGTGAGAACGGTTGTTTGGTTTCGACGATAAAGAATTTCGCTCAAAATTAAACTAGTACTTTACATTACATTCCATTTTCATCCAACTAAACAACAATATTTTTTAAACTCATACAAAAATGAATAATTTACACCTAGTTTACTTCCAACCGAACATCTCCTTAATTTTTCACCTCAAGTCAACCATTGAAAAGAGTATTGAACTAACTAAAATATTTGTGAAAAATATTTTATTATTTAATAAACATCTTATTTTTGCAAAAATATTACTCGTTTTCTAATATTTTATTTGATAATAATTTATAGCTTATAAAAAATAATAATTCAATGTAAAATAATTAGAACAAGTTACCTTAGAATGAGCTTTTCCCACGAGTGATACCCAACAGCAAGTAGGTTTTGCTCGGTGGAGTTGCGGTGGGTTTCCTTACGACCAGTCAAGAGGATTAGCTGAAACCCCATTCCCTGTAGCTTTTTGTACAGCCATAAACTCCACGGCAAAGCTGGCGACTTTGTGGAAGCCGCCCACTGCTCCCGACCTGACTCATTTGTGACCTTCTTCCATCTAATTTTTTTATAATAACAGCAGCGTTTAGCTTATTAATTGCTACGAAAATGGTTAAGAGCTGATTTGATTTTTCTTAATTTCCTTTATATACCTGTAAGCGGCGCCATGAACGAAGTAGTGGTGAATGTTGGATATTAGGGTCTCGTCAACATCGAAAATCCAAGCATCCATGCCGTCGCCGGCGATCTGGATATTCTTAGCGTAGGCCTGCGCAAATCGCGCCACCACTTTGGAGTCCAGCGCGTACTGAGCCCCTCTAACGTACGCCTCCACCAAGCTCGAGCACCGGGCAGAGATCTTCTTCCAGTTCCCGGCATTGTTCGTCTCCACTGAAAGGCGCCAGCTTTCACAGTAGGCCTCGTTCGGATCGTCGCCGAGATCGCCGGAGCTCAGCCCTTCCTCTTCCGGCAGAAGACGAAGCAGTGTATCAACAGCTTTATCTGAAGTGTTAGAGTAAGTACAGAGGCAGGAGGAGAGGAGAAGAAGAAGGAGCAGGTGGAGGGATAACATTTCTCCTTTTTTTCTTTTTCGTTTACAAGCAGAAGAAGAAGGAGGAAGAAAAGTCGAGGTCAGGCGTAGCCATGGAATGGGATTTTAACGTGAAATGGATGAGATCTGGAGAAAGAACGGAACTGATCATCACGTGATTGCATGCATGAAATCAACATTTTTTATGTTTGCTTAACATGTGGAAGTTATTCCTGTTATTATGGAACAATTGCATTGGGTGCTCTCATCTCTGTGGTAGAGGTAGCTGCACGGTTTTTTCTATAATTGTTGTTCTTTCATTGAAATGAGTTATTTGAGGGAGCTTTAATGGAAAATGAGGGGGAAATTTGATTTTTTTTTTTTTTCGCTTTTCTATTGTATGAGCATCAAAGGATTATATTAATACAGCAATAATGACTCTCACTAATGATAGAACAATGATGTAGTAAAACTATCTTAGATCATATGTTAGTAATACGTACTCCCTTTTAATTCAAATTATCTTTCTTATGTGTTAATAAGGGCATGATTATAATGTATTAATGAGACACCCCATGGCGAAGAGTAGATAAAAAATAATTATAAAATTCATGTTATTTGGATAACTCAATATAAGAGTAAGAGGATAATATGCAAATTTAGCAATAAAAATAATAATGCAGAGTACTAATGACATTCTTTTTTATATTGATCACTTGCAAGAGCTTAATGCACATTTTGTGGGTCGGTCCATAGGGCTGCAAACGAATCGAACTGAGCCGAGTATGTGAGTGTTCATGTTTGTGTTCATTTAATATCAACTTGTTCAAGTTTGGTTCATGTTTGTTCGAGCTTTATTGTTTGTGTTCACGTTTGGTTCATTTAAATTAATTAGTGTTCATGTTCGTTCGTTTAGTGCTTATCGAGCTTGTTCGCGAACATATTTAACAATTTTTTTTTAACTATCAATCAAATATGTTCATGAACATATTTATAATAAAAGCAATTGTCTATGTACAAAGGATTTGATTATTTATATTTATTAATTTTATGGTCAAATATTACTTATTTTTATCTAGCTTATTTACGAGTTCAAAATCGAACACGAATCAAGCTTTTATCGAGCTTCTTATCGAGCTTAATGTCGAGCTTGTTCACGAACTTTAAATGATGTTGTTCGCGAACATAAATGACCTGAACGCACTAATGTTCAAGATTGATTATTTAAGAATCGAGTATTTAAAATATTGTTCAAGTTTGTTTGTTTAGCTAATTAAACGATCACAAATGAGCTTTAATCGAACCAAACATCGAGTAGCTCGTTGAACGTTTGGTTCGCTTGCAGCCCTATCAGTCCATCTTCCTGTATGTTGAACCACTGTGTTTGATAAAAGATTCATTTTCTGGATGCTTGGTTTATACTTTTCAACACTCGGTATTTTCTCGATTGGCTATGTTTTATGACTAGTTTCCCTTTGAAACAATAGAATCAAAGGCCCTCGAGAATTCAGGATATTTATTATGTATAACGATTAACTAGCATTTTACTGTCATTTCAGAAATGCAACTATCAGTTTATGATTCCAAAACTTGTGATATCAAATATGAGCTATTGAGACTAATGACTTAATGTTGGTGGTAAGCAGTTTGTTTTAATTGTAGATTTTTTTAATTTGTTGGACTTCTTGAAACTCTGTTAATTTTTTTCAGAAGAACCGAGTTTATCTGAAATACTTGATTTGTATTTAGTTGATTATCTAAACAAGTGCTCTTACTAAGGCCTCGTTTGGTGGCAAAACTCCCTTCTCGATGAGAATAGTTGTTCCAAAAAAGACTTTTACTCGGCGAAAGAAAAAAGAAAAGTTTTGCAAATCGGTAAGATAATGAGGGTCTAAAAAATACAATTTTGCAAAAAATAGGCTTCCAAACAGTAACCCAAAATATTTTTACCGTTTCGAAACGAAAACGGCATTATTAAGCTGTCCAAAACGAGGCCTAAACTATAAGCTAGTCCAATTCAATTTACTCTATCCTTAAATGATTAAAAGTCAAACTTTTTAGCGAACATACAAATGGAAACTTCAATATTAGTTGAGCTACAGAATGCAATCATTTCATATTATTCAGATGAGCTTGTTGTAAGGAAACACATTATGCAGGCTTATGATTCAGTGAACATTTTGTTTTACTTTGAAAACTCAGATCTCAGGATGGAAGACCATATATAGTGGTGCTTTTACAAAAGGCTTGTTAGAACTTGTCATCAAAATGTACAGTAGTCTTGATGCGCCTTGGCTCGATCTGCATGTTTAAGTGGTACAGGTCCTGATCCCCATTGTTTCTCAGAAACAATATCTTGTTGGATTGGCTGTATTGGATTGGTCCTTGATCTGGCATGTCTCACTCTCTCAGCGAATTATTACGTCCGGACACCCAATCCAGACGCTCCACGTCACCTGAATACATTGGGTCCCAGTATATTTGGATGACGTGGAGCGTCTGGATTGGAATCCGGACGAATCCGGACACCGGACGTAATAATTTTCCCCCCTCTCTCTTTCTTATATATGCACACACTTTAAAAGGGTTACTGTGTCTTATAATAGAATGCGTATTACAATAGAAGATAATGCCTAATTAGTGGAAACTCACTTTTTCATCTGTAAATTCAACACGTCCACTGTGGGAAGTGTTATCATTGATTTGATAAGTTCTTGAACTAATTTTAGACTATGTTTGGGATAGCTTTTTAAATGCTTCTTAAATAAACTTATTTTTACAAAAGTTTTAATTTTTTTACTAAAAGCTGTTTATATGTCCAGTTAATAGTTTAGATACATATATACATAAGAATATTAAGTGATTGACCGTCATCATAAGTATAAATTTTTTCGATGTCAAAATGAATCCATCTTGACTGCCCATTTTAATCACTTTCACAAACAATTATATTTAATATTTATTAATTTATTTTCCATTTAACAATATTTACTATCTCCAATGATTGATTTGTTGTTAGAGTGGCTCAAATAGATGCTTGAATATAAATTATTTTCCTAGGAGCATATTAAAGGTAATCTCTCAAAATAATAATAATTATAACCACATTTTCTTAAGATGTATGATACATTTTATTATGAAAGTAAGAATCATTTAGGCTTCGTTTGTGATGGCTTTTATACTGCTTCTTAAAGCAACTTTTAAGTATAAAATTTTAAAATTTTGTACTAAAAAGCTGCTTTAAGAAGCAATAAGAAAGCCGTCCCAAATGAAGCTTTAAAAATATTTTGAAAAATATAACAATGACATATAACCCAAAAGTTAAGCAAGTTGAAATTCATTCTAGCTAATGTTATGAAATGATGATGCAATGATACATAAAAAAATATCAAGCATATAATATTATGATCATAATATATATATGCATTGCACGGCCTAACATATAATATTGGCACCAAAATTAGAAAGATTGCATTTATCACATCCTACGATGAATGTTCAGTCTACTATGAAGGCATGACATAAAACACTTAACATGCATGCATGGATGCCATTAAGGAAAACTATTACATAATACAATTTAAGAAATGTGATTGATATATGCCATTATGGTATGTGATACATTGGATTTGGAACTTTGAAAGATCGCTTGGCCATTGGTTCACCCATAAGGTCGCTCCACTGGTCCCCTGAGCTGCCATGGATTCTATAGCCTTGAGCCACCAACTCAGCCCTTTTCTCTGATTTATAGGTCATAGCTCTCTTGCCCGAATCCAAATTACCTCTGCTTAAACATATATATCATATGATGATTAGCATGATAGCATGCATATAATTGCACAAATAAATATCCAATATTCATTTCTTCAATTTAAGGGTTATTTGGTTATCAGAAAAAGAAATGCAATGTAAAAGAAAGTTCAAAGAGTGTGTTGATTGGTGGCCGAAACTAGCTAGCATTGGTGGTGGTCGAAGGCTGGTGATGATAAGCGCTGGTCACCAGTGGCAGAGGTGGCCTAAGGACACCGCTAACAGTAGTTAGCATGTGGGACCCTGACAACGAGTGGTGGAGGAGATTGTTGGCAGTGGAAGGGTATGTGCATTGGCTAATGAGGGGTAGGGTGCAATGGCTAGTGATGGGAAACATTGGTGGCTGGCAGTGGGGGTTGCTAAAGGGTGGTTCAGCTACAATAGTGATGGTGGTCGATGGTAAGGAGTGACGATAGCTGATAGGCGGTTCGTAGAAGCAAGTGGTGAGAACGGATGTTTGGTTTCGACGATAAAGATTTTCGCTCAAAATTAGAATAGTATTTTACATTACATTCCATTTTCATCCAATTAAACACCAATATTTTTAAAACTCATGCAAAAATAAATACTTTACACCTAATTTACTTCCAACCAAACATCTCCTTAATTAGAACAAGTTACCTTAGAATGAGCTTTTCCCACGAGTGATACCCAACAGCGAGTAGGTTTTGCTCAGTGGAGTTGCGGTGGGTTTCCTTTCGACCAGTCAAGAGGATTAACTGAAACCCCATTCCCTGTAGCTTTTTGTACAGCCACAAACTCCACGGCAAAGCTGGCGACTTTGTGGAAGCCGCCCACTGCTCCCGACCTGTGTCATTTGTGGCCTTCTTCCATCTAATTTTTTTATAATAACAGCAACGTTTAGCTTCTTAATTGCTAACAAAATGGTTAAGAGCTGATTTGTTTTTTCTTAATTTCCTGTATATACCTGTAAGCGCCATGAACGAAGTAGTGGTGAATGTTGGAAATTAGGGTCTCGTCAACATCGAAAATCCAGGCATCCATGCCGTCGCCGGCGATCTGGATATTCTTAGCGTAGGCCTGCGCAAACCGCGCCACCACTTTGGAGTCCAGCGCGTACTGAGCCCCTCTAACGTACGCCTCTACCAAGCTCGAGCACCGGGCAGAGATCTTCTTCCAGTTCCCGGCATTGTTCGTCTCCACTGAAAGGCGCCAGCTTTCGCAGTATGCCTCGTTCGGATCGTCGCCGAGATCGCCGGAGCTCAGCCCTTCCTCTTGCGGCAGAAGACGAAGCAGCGTATCAACAGCTTTATCTGAAGTGTTAGAGTAAGTACAGAGGCAGGTGGAGAGGAGAAGAAGAAGGAACAGGTGGAGGGATAACATTACTCCCTTTTTTCTTTTTCTTTTACAAGCAGAAGAAGGAGGAAGAAAAGTGGAGGTCAAGCGTAGAAAGATCGCCATGGAATGGGATTTTAACGTGAAATGGAAGAGATCTGGAGACAGAACGGAACTAATCATCAGATCACGTGAATGCATGCATGAAATCAACATTTTTTATGTTTGCTTAACATGTGGAAGGTATTCCTGTTATTATGGAACAATAGCATTGGGTGCTCTCATCTCTGTGGTAGAGGTAGCTGCACGGTTTTTGCTATAATTGTTGTGCTTTCATTGAAATGAGTTATGTGAGGGAGCTTTAATGGAAAATGAGGGGGAAATTTGATGTTTTTTTTTTTCGCTTGTCTATTATTGTATGAGCATCAAAGGATTATATTAATACAGCAATAATGACTCTCACTAATGATAGAACAATATTGTAGTAGTAAAACTATCTTAGATCATATGGTAGTAATACTCATTTATAATTTAAATTATCTTTCTTATTTGTTAATAAGGGAGTGATTATAATGTATTAATGAGACACCCATGGCAAAGAGTAGATAAAAAATAATTATAAATTTCATGTTAATTGGATAACTCAATATAAGAGTAAGAGCATAAGTGCTAATAGGCAAATTAAGCAATAAAAATAATAATGCAGAGTACTAATGACATTCTTTTTGGTATTTATCACTTGTAAGAGCTTAATTAATGCACATTTTGTGGGTCAACCCATTTTCTTGTATGTTGCATCACTATGTTTGATAAAAAATTCATTTTCTCGATGTTTGATTTTTACATTTCAACACTCCGTATGTTTTCGATTGGCTATGTGTTATGACTAATTTCCCTTTAAAACTATAGAATCAAAGGCCCTTGAGAATTCAGGATATATTTATTATGTATAAAGATTAACTAGCATTTTACTGTCATTTCAGAAATGCAACTATCAGTTTATGATTCCAAAACTTGTGATATCAAATGTGAGGTATTGAGACTAATGACTTAGTGTTGGTGGTAAGCAGTTGTTTTAATTGTAGATTTTTTTAATTTGTTGGACTTCTTGAAACTCTGTTAATTTTTTTCAGAAGAACCGAGTTTATCTGAAATACTTGATTTGTATTTAGTTGATTATCTAAACAAGTGCTCTTACTAAGGCCTCGTTTGGTGGCAAAACTCCCTTCTCGATGAGAATAGTTGTTCCAAAAAAGACTTTTACTCGGCGAAAGAAAAAAGAAAAGTTTTGCAAATCGGTAAGATAATGAGGGTCTAAAAAATACAATTTTGCAAAAAATAGGCTTCCAAACAGTAACCCAAAATATTTTTACCGTTTCGAAACGAAAACGGCATTATTAAGCTGTCCAAAACGAGGCCTAAACTATAAGCTAGTCCAATTCAATTTACTCTATCCTTAAATGATTAAAAGTCAAACTTTTTAGCGAACATACAAATGGAAACTTCAATATTAGTTGAGCTACAGAATGCAATCATTTCATATTATTCAGATGAGCTTGTTGTAAGGAAACACATTATGCAGGCTTATGATTCAGTGAACATTTTGTTTTACTTTGAAAACTCAGATCTCAGGATGGAAGACCATATATAGTGGTGCTTTTACAAAAGGCTTGTTAGAACTTGTCATCAAAATGTACAGTAGTCTTGATGCGCCTTGGCTCGATCTGCATGTTTAAGTGGTACAGGTCCTGATCCCCATTGTTTCTCAGAAACAATATCTTGTTGGATTGGCTGTATTGGATTGGTCCTTGATCTGGCATGTCTCACTCTCTCAGCGAATTATTACGTCCGGACACCCAATCCAGACGCTCCACGTCACCTGAATACATTGGGTCCCAGTATATTTGGATGACGTGGAGCGTCTGGATTGGAATCCGGACGAATCCGGACACCGGACGTAATAATTTTCCCCCCTCTCTCTTTCTTATATATGCACACACTTTAAAAGGGTTACTGTGTCTTATAATAGAATGCGTATTACAATAGAAGATAATGCCTAATTAGTGGAAACTCACTTTTTCATCTGTAAATTCAACACGTCCACTGTGGGAAGTGTTATCATTGATTTGATAAGTTCTTGAACTAATTTTAGACTATGTTTGGGATAGCTTTTTAAATGCTTCTTAAATAAACTTATTTTTACAAAAGTTTTAATTTTTTTACTAAAAGCTGTTTTAAGAATTAATAAGGAAGTTATTCCACATTAAGCCTTAGACTTCGTTTGTGATAATTTTTTTACATCTTTTTAAACTAGTTTTTAAGTACAAAAATTTATTATTCAAGTAATTTTTATACTAAAAAGTCACTTTATAAAGAAATAAGAAAGCTATCTCAAACGAAATCTTAGGTTTTGTTTGAGACAGCTTTCTTACTGCTTTCTGAAGCAGTTTTTTAGTACTTTTTTTTTTGTATTAGAAAGTTGTTGTAGAAAGCAATAAAAAAATTGTCCCAAATGAAACTTTAATCTTAATTTATAACTTCATTGTATCCTTATTATAGGAATAGGAATGACTGAAAAATAAGAATTTATAACGGTAAAAAAAAAAAAAAAAGATTTATAACGGTGGCTTATTGCAAAAATATTATTAGTCAGTATGAACTTGATGATGAGAAAACAAGAAAGGAGTATATAACAGCAGCAGCCATGAAGTAAGCTTTAAGAGGTTATCTGAGCAGAATTTCTTTGTTAATTAAAGAAAAAAAATTCTATGAATAGGTGAAGTTATAAATTCAGATAATTTTTGGGATAAAATAAATTTTGTTGATTGATACTTTGAATCTGGTCTAGTTCTGTAGGGTGCAATGTCTAAACTAAAATAATATTGGATAATCATTAAACTGGACTCTATTTAATTTATATCTTCAGCTCATCTTCAATTAAGTACGAAAGGCTTTATGCTAGCTTGGTGAGATTGCGATAATTTTCTCTGTGGTTGTTGATAATTAATTAACAAGAGAGAAAATACTCAACAAATTATCAAATAATGGCACATGAGATTTATTATTATTAAATAACTGATGAGAGATCGATATGTTGGGAAGTAAAGCATGCAACGAAACATACATTAAAAGAAACCAGCCGAAAAGAACGTCATGATTTAACTTGGAAAAATCTTAAAAAAAAAAAATCGTGGAGCTACACTACACTAAGAAATTTACTATGAAAATTGAAAAAAACTGTACAAATATCTCTTCTTATAATCCCTCATTGTCTCTCATCACTTCTTCACATTGTTTATCTCAGAACTAACAAAAAGATACACGTCTATAATATGAGTAGTTAAACACGAAAAAATAGAAAGAAATTGGCTAGCTTGGCTCGCAGCGTGCAGTTCCAGGGTTTGGACTGTTGTAGCTCTTTACTCTCTCTCCTAGCCCAACTTGTAATGTTGCGGCTCAGGTTCTAGAGTGTTACAGCGTTTCGCTCTCTGTCTCTAAGTTAAGATTGTAACACCGCCGTGTAATAATTAATCTATGACACTTCATCACAAAAGTATACATCGATCCAGTGCTCTAATGTGCAGGGCTATGATGTTGTTCGACTATACGGGAAAAAAATATTTCTCACCCGATGAAATTAAGGTTTAAGTTAACAACACAATGCGATAGATGGACACAATCAGATTCAACATAGAACTAACATTATATAGGAGTTATTTTGGCTCATGGGATTAACAATTATGACCGACCATTAAAATTTGAAGTGAGATTACATAATTGTTTGTTCAATTTATGCTCATATTTAGCATATTGAAGTGAGCTTACTATAAAATATTTCTTAATGATTTTATCAACCTCATAGTTGTGTGGAAAGAAGATGAATTTTTTGTTAGAGGGGATTCTATAGTGTGAACTTTGAAGTTAGTTTTTATTTAACCCTTTTGGGCTACTGATTATTCATGTTCTATGGCATTTTAAAAAGAGTAAAAAAAAGATTTGTCTGTTGGGAGAGTAGAAGGAAAGAATAGGAGAAATCATAGGAAGCTTTTGTTGGGGGTTTAGGAGAGTATGCTTTTTAGGATTCTTCATCCTTGAATGATAGGATTCTCTATAATTTCACATGAATTTATCTTTTATTCTATTGTCTAATAATTTTAAGTGGAAATGCGTCAATGTATTTAATCTTTTATAATTGATACGTCAGCAAGAATCATATTGATCAAATACGAATCTTGAGGCATATTCAATTTGAAAACTTTTAAAATTAAGCAAACTTATAGTCAAATTGAATGATTTGATGAGATGAATCTAACAACATCAAAATCGGTCTAATTCGAGCCAAAATTGGCCCAAATCAAGGGACTGAAGTATATTTCAAAGCCCCAAAGTATTAATTGGATGACCAAATGATATCCAAATATGACATGTTTATAGTCGAATCGAGTGGCTCAATGAGATGAATCGAATGAGTCCAAGATCACTTAAGTCAGACATCATTAAGGCACTTAAATGATGAACAAACGCTCCATGATCGAGGAAATCAGTATGGGTCATCCGATAGAGCACTCCAAATTTACCTTGGATTTCACGGAGCATGTCACTCTAAAAATTCATAAATAAACCCCTACTCTCTACATGAGTTGAACCCTAAGAACGAGAAGACTTGGACCTTAGACTAGAGACTCAAGAGAGTTCTAAGGCTTGAAAAATCCCAGAGTTCCACCCATGTAACACAGCCGGTGAACCCTTGCTGCCAAGGAACTACTGTTGGACCTTCGCCCGAACATCGTCGTTGGACATCCATTCGGCCGCCATCATTGGGTCTCCACTTTAACTTCTTCACCCACTGACTACTTTCCCTTCAATCTTAGTTGTTCGATTATCGTTCATCTGATGTCCATCACATGAATGTGGTCCCTCTGACTATAGTTGCCCGCTAACTAGGATCCATCTGACTCTATCAAAAAGTTTAAAAAAAACCAATCCCCCCCCCCCCCCCCCCCCCCCCACACACACACACACACACCTCTATCACTCTTTAACAGTCATGTTAACCTATATTGACCAACTACAATCTCTCTAATCACATTCACCTACCAACTACGATCTTTCCAACCATAATTACCCGTAAATTATGATCCCTCCAACCATAGTTGTCCACCGACTATAACCCCTCTGACCTCTGTTGCCCGACTATGGCC